ATAGCAAGGGAGGGACAGACATACTAGGCGTGCAGGGTCAATCATATTAACAAAGAAGCAACACAAACATACAGTAGCAGTAGGGGTAAGCTAGGATTCAGCAGTAAAAGAAAACCATTCGAAGCTCAGCAATCGAGTAGGTCAAAGTAGTCACATAGAATCAAAAATGCAGAGAACCAAACTAACAGGTAAGAGAGTCAGAAACACGTAAAGGTCTCACATTAACAAGTGAGGAAAACCTTTTAGGAAGTTAGGGTTTCAACAGTAGTCGAATTTAAAAGATGGTAAGAACTCAGAATCAGATAAGTCAAACAAGACAAAAAGATTCAAACGCAAAGAGCTTAATCGAACTAAACATGCGTATAAAATAAACCAAAAGAATTTCAGAAGCCCAGGTAGAGTAGAACACTTAGGGCTTTTAGCATGATGAACCAGGTAGCAGCAAACATAGACAAACATAGTAAAATCATAAAAACACACTAAAAATCGGAGAAGAGTTTAGGAAACCCTAATCGTTAAAAATGGAGAGTCATTTTGAAAGGAAAATCGAAGAACCTTCCAGAAACACTTAAAAAGTTTGTAATAAGCACAGATCTAAGATCGATCTGAAAGAAAAATCGAACGGCTCTTAGAGCTAGGGTTTCAAAGAACCTAGAGAAAGTAAGAAAGGCTTTAAAAGATACCGATCTAGCCGGAAAAGTCAAGGATCTGACTCGAGTGGCCATGGCTGGCCGGAGAAAGGTCAGAGATGACCGGAGAAAGGTCATCGAGCAAAGACTGGACCAAGCCCCTTCAGAATCTGGTCATGAGACCACAGCAACAAACACATAGAAATCATAGGAGGCTGATACAGGTCTTAGGCGACCATGGAAAGCCATAAATTAGGGTAGATTAAGGGGCGGTGGCTAGGATTTGATGTTGTTGTAGAGAGGATTTGGGAAAGGAGGGGAATGCAGAGGCGGTGTAGGGTAACAAATGAAAGGGTTTGGGGGGTAGTTGGAAATTAATTTAGGTAAGGGCAATTTTTGGCCGTTGATCTGAGTGATCAACGGCTTGGATTGAACGGGTAAATGGGCGGGTTATGAAGATGGGTTTGGGTTGGGTTAAATCGGAATTGGGTCGGGGTTTAATAGGAATTGGGCCAGGGTAATTGGGATTCAAATTGTGGTCCAATTTAGGCTATAATCGAAATAAAATGGGGCTAACATTTAAATAGCCAATTTTCCTATTTGATTTATAAAAAATAATAAAATAATTTCTGGAAATAAATTGATGGTACTAAAAATGATTTATAATACATAATTAATTATTTAAAAATACCAGACCTAATTTTACGAACATAAATGCAGTTAAATCTTAAAAGAGGCTAATATGCAATTATATGCAATTTAGCTTTAAAAATACTAAATAAATTTGCAAAAATTTNACTTTCTAGCCATTTTTTATTCTTTTTAGGAAAATTCATGATCGCCATACACTTGTTTGGTTTTTGAAAACACATCGTAAACCACGCTACATGAAATGCACCCGCGGTTCACGACATATTTATTTATTAAACATATTGGAAAGTGAAGTCGGGTCACATGAAATGTGCACCCAGATTTGAAAATTACAAGTCACAACTACGTCACGGGAACCGTACCCGTAGCTATGACAATTTATTTAATTAACGCGCCTAAAGCAAACTACGAATATTCATAAGATGTGTAATTCCTAATTCGATGATTGTGAGCAAAGGGCCCGGGATTATGGAGTACTTTTATTAAGTTTCAAGCTCATTCCCTCTTAAGCTTCTATTTCATATATCTGACCAAACCCAATCCCTAAAGGAGGTGAATAAATTAATTGCTAATGAGCTTTAGCCTCCTCGCTTCAATGGCCCCAACATTCATTTAAAGAGGAATCAAATAAAATAAGCATTTCAAACATATAAACTAGAAAGAAAACACAAATAACAATTAAAAGGAATAAATGGGGGATCCAAAGATGATTAGAGACCTCCAAATCCATAGGTAATTAGAACAGGGCTTGAAATAGTTCTGGATTTTCTCCCAGTATATACTAACATATTATATCATTTTCTCATATTCACAAACAGATGTCCAAGCTTAGAAATCAAGTTCAAAAGTTCATGACAAAAAAAAAAATTGTAATACGGACAGCAATGGTCAATAAAGAACCCAATTACAAACTCTACAGATACCAAAAACAACTCCACATTTGCAGATGAGAACATTGATATCGCAGCTCCTAAATAGCCTCAGATCATGGCGTTTAAGCCTACTAATGACTATAATTTAAACAATGTCTTTTGAACCAAAGGAACCTTTAAGGGACTCATCAGAAGTGCCAACTTTGAAACATATAATTGGAAAACATCACTTTCAAATAAAGCTATGTACAAATATGCTGACTTTAAATAGAGAAAGAAACTGCTAGGGTGTCGACATGCTTAAAACATTGATTAATCCAAATTAAGGTGACGATAACCGAACCCCTAGCAGAAAAAATATCAAATCGTCCATCACAAACTCATTTCTAAGAGAGGAAGACAAACGGAACTTTCTGAAAACTGCACATGAATGCACCAGCTTGTCCGGTCTGATCAACAATCGCCAAATCAAACAAACCTTAGTTAGACATATAGACTACCCAGCAAATCAAAAACCAACGTGAGCCAAAAGTGCAGAATTTGCACTTAAAAACTATGCAGATTTGCTTCTTAAACAGTGCAAGACAGAGTAAATTTTAAAAAGCTTAACAATCCTGACAAATATCCCAAAATACTGCATATTTCAGCACAATTTATCGCTCAAATCAGCTGTTTTCTGCAGCTCGAAAGAACATAGTTCTTATAGCTGTAACAATGCAGACAAATTTTTCGAACAAGAAAAGGAAAATAGAGCAAATCTGAACATATACAATCAGCGAAACAATTTTGCTTAAACACCATTTTAAACCAAGATCTAATAAGAATGAATCATTTAACATGAAGAAACCAAGACAAACTAACATGGGTCTAACTCAATAAGACATAAACCAATGAAAATTAGTGCCAGATTTTAAAAACAAATAGAACATGATAGCACGATGATTCACACACTGCATGGATCACTAAGTTTCAACCCAAACACTACTACTATCCTAAGAACACAAGAAGAATTACCAGGACTGAGTTTATGATTAAGTAACGTATTTCAAGTACAACCTCTGGAAAGCAAACAAAATACTCCAAGGAAGCTGATTCCTGAATGCAGCAGATTCATAATTCTTACAACGTGAAGATCAGAATGCATTTCGACATGAAACAAGGAAGCAACTTGGTGCAAACGTCAAGCAGATACTAGCGAAGAGGAACGGGTCAAGGTATTAATAAGCCAGAGACGAGTCGATTCAACGCGGAAACTAAAGTGTAATCTGAACGCTTCATTTTCCAACTATTCACGCTTTAACATTTCGAACAACAAACATATATCAAATGATCAGAACAAAACTATTAGTCTAGAGATAAATTCCCTATGGCTTCATCATACTGTAATCACACCAAATAAAATGAGCAAGAATCAAGAAATGAACCTGTTAAATGCTTCTTCTTTAATATGTAAAGAAAATTTCCACGACAAATTCACCAAGATGAAAATCCGACGATAATACAATAGCAACAAAATTGTCACAGGAACTCGAGCCAACAAACTCGACTGACGAACGACCACTGCGATGAAACCTCAAACGCCTCAAACAAACTCCATTTCAACACCCAAAAATTCTGAAATTGAACCAGAAGAAACAGACTATTTTTCTTTTTGTATTTTCTGATCTTGAAATAAAGAAAACGGGAAAAGAACTTTCCTCTCTAAATTTCCTCTCCAAAAAACCCTCTGAAAAAAAAAACCTCCGAAAATCTGTCCCCCCAAAAGAAACCAAAATTCCTCTAGTTATCAGGCAAACACTTGATGAATGAAGGGTTGGGATCAATCGAAATCGATCCCACGGTCCCCATTCATCCAGCATATGCCTTCTAGAGGCTTCCAACACGTGAGAAGGGAGGTGGGCATCTGTCAGAAACCGTTACAATATGATGACGTGGTGGGATGGGGGGTGCGTGAGGTGAGTTTTGGTGAAGAACTCGTCTGAAACTCAGACGAGTTGGTCGATTTGATGCGGCTGAAGAGGGAGAACTGAGAGAAGGCGTCGTTTGGTTCTTTCATAACTAGGGTTAGGTTTTTTCTTCTTTGTGTTATGTATTTGGAGAATGGGTCGAGTAAGAGGGGAGGGTTTAGGCTGGGTAGGGGCGATTTGGGTTTCTATTTGGGCTCAACCTCAATTTGGCCCAAACTGAATTTAAGACCAAGCTTTTTCAATTCCCTTTCTCTTTTTGTTTTCTTTTCTTTCTTTAATTAATTAAAAAAGATCTAAATTAAATTCCTAGATTAATTCAAATTGAAAAATTAAGCTAATTATCTAACTATAAAATTTATAAGAATTAGTTGATCCTAAATTAAAAGAGAAAAATTAATAATCCAAAACTTAAAAGCTAAGAATGTAAAAGTGAGCTATTTTTGTGATTTTCATTTTTAATAAAGCAACTAATAAATTAATTAATCCTAAAATGTGAACACAAAATCTAAATGCAATGCATGACATTTTTTGGTATTTTTCATCATTTTAATAAAAGTAAACACGCACAGAAATGCAAACAATTTAACAAAAATTCCTACAAAAATCCTATAAAATTGCAAAAAATTGGAAAAAAATCTATTTCTTTAATTTGTAGGAGTATTTCACATAGGGCATAAATCACGTGCTCACACACGTGAACGGCGGTTTTTGACTAATTTGAGTAGTTTCATAGTTGGTCTATCATTGAATCTTCAATTATTAGCTTATAAACATATTATATGGGTTATTCTTCATCTAATTACATGTTTTCTTCCATTATTATGAGTAACTAGACCCATTATCTAGGGTTGTGGCTCAACCTTATGTCACACCTCCTTTTTATCTACTACACCCGCAAGGGTATAATAAAGGGAGTTATTTCCAACTTGAAGTGACAATCGGAACGGGATTTATTATTAATATTCAGAGTCGCCACTTGGGAGATTAATGGTGTCCCAAGTCACCTGTTGAATCCCGATCCGAGGAAATTATGACTCTGTTAACAGTCATCGAACCAGAAATCTAAGTAAGGAATTCTGTTAACCCGGGAGAAGGTGTTAGGCATTCCCGGGTTCCGTGGTTCTAGCACGGTCGCTCAACTGTCATATTTGGCTTACTTGTTTGATTTTAGTACATGTTTTAATCTATGTGCCTTTAACTTTGAACGCTTTTATTCTTATTAATTTAGAGAGTTGCAACGTCGTGAAAATGCGCCTCAAACCACGTCGCACCAGTGCACCCGTGAGTGTTAACACATTTCAACTTCGTTGAGATTTGGATTTGGGTCACATAAATGTGCACCCGAATTTAGGAAGGTAATTTTATTAAAATCGTGTGCCTAAAGAGACTATTGCGTTATTATCTTTGGGGAAGGCTGTGGAATTCACTAACAACCCATCCCGAAGTCTAGGTATTTTAGTATAAACATTTATCGAGGGCCCCGCAATTTTACATTGTATCTGGCGAGGCCCGTCCCGTTTTATTATTTAAAAGGGTAAACCTAAAGTAACTACAATTTTCTATTCGATTCGTTAATAATAAAAGAAAAGGTCCTAATTAATTTATTATTGGATCAAAGCACACCAAATGATAATTCTGCAATAAGGCCAACCACAGGGCTCCGAGATAGCCCGACAGAGGAGAATTGTACCCAAGTCTACACCAAAATTTGGCCAATTACAGACTTTGGCCCAGGCCCAAACGAACATTGAAATCTGATCTGAGCCTGGGCCACTCGCTTAAATCACTAAGGCCCAAAGCAACAAAACAAGGCTGTTGAGCCTTGAGTTTACCGGCAACACTTGTACCAAACAGAATTACGATTTAAACTTACTGCGATTACAATTATTTCACAATGGTGTGGCTGGAATCCAGTTTTATATTCAACGTGTTTAGGCTATCTAACTACTACAGATACCCATGGAATTCCACAAATTGACGGAGCCAAATTACACTTATGTTGAGGTCATAACCCAGGGATACAGTACACATGAAAAAACGCCTAATTTCGAATTCAACTTATTAGGGCCCACACTAACGTTAAACACTGACATGGCCCCCATTCTGATTTCAGCTCTGGCTTCAAGTTTAATAAACAGTCATTACATGAATTCAAGCTACACTACACTAGCAGCACAAGCTAAACCAAACTAAAACTAATAACTGCAGAATTCACATGCTCATAGGAGTACACTGAGCTAGTTCGACTGGCCACAAATTTAAAATAGTCCCAAACAATTCAGCCAAACAGTCTACTTATACAGTCCAGGGTTTACACACGTACAAAATTGAATTGACACTATGCTGTGCACTTAAATCTAATGCCTATTTAACTATCAATACACCATAGTCCAGGCAGCATAATTCAAGATCAAACAGGTGAATATTTGCATTCCATTTCAAGCTTAAAGTTACAGCAGAACGGGTTCAAATGTGTACCTGGTAATTGCAAATAAGAAAAAGGAAAAGATCAGTAGCAGTGACAGTTTGCAACAGCAGCCCAGGAAGAAGTTGAAATCCAGTAATAACTCAATCAACACAGCAAGTTCAGGAACATGTTTGAAACTCCAGCAATGAACCAAAACACCAACAATTTCAAGCACCAGTGCAGTCCAAAGCCAAATCGATTACTCAGACTCAGTTTGCAGCAATTCAAATAGACCTCAACAACTCTCTTGGCAGCTACTTTCACATATAGAACAGTATACTCGAAAACCAGCTTATTTCTGATCCCAATGCTGAGATCAGTATTGTTTTGAAGGAATTTTATGATTTTTAGAAACTCTGTTTTATGCCTTTTGGAAGGGGTTTAGAGGACTGCCCCCAAAAAACTTTTTCTCAAGGCAAATGAGTGCCTATTTTATAGATGAACTTAGGGTCCAATTTCAGATTTTCCTTTTACCCCCTTAGTCCCTATTCTAATTTCAGTGTTTACCCCATTATTTCTGACTTGTTACACAAGCAACTAAC